CCGTCCATATTAGCTCTATATATTGCATCTGTCTCTGCATCGGTCCAATATACACGCCGGTGAGATAGATCCAGGGCTATGCCATCGGGAACTAGATATAGAATCCAAACAGAAACAGCGTGAGGAAAACAAGGAAACAGACAGGAAGTAATAAAACATTTGCTATAATCTGTGTTTATGTTTTTTATTTATGCAATGATTTGAATTATTGTCATGTGGTTAAAGGGAACATAATCTAGGGTCATTGTACAGCGAGTCTGTTGCGTATAGACAGGCGTCTGACACGTTTTGTTGGGAATATAAAGAACGACGCGCTTTTTTTGCCCAGACAATCTATGTTCAAGATTGATGAAATTTCGGAGATTGGTCAATAGTGGGACATACTCCAAAAAAAAAAATGAAAAATAAAAAACGATTTCAAAATATAGGGAACCGAAGTGCTCCTATGCGATCAGAAGTTCCGAAATTGTGTTTTCATTGCTCTATGATTGACAAGTCATTATGGATGATATATGCAAATGGTTGCTAGCCACAAACATGCAACAAAATCTTACAAAATCAAATTTACACTAGGAATATTATTATTCAGTTATAGCGGATAGCATTGCGATGTAATGAGAGAACAGAGTTGGTGTTGCAAGTGCTGGTACCTGATCTTTCAGTGTCTTTCAATGGACAGACTAAAATTTCGGCTGATTAAAAATATACAAACAAATATCATGGAATTAAATCAAAATGTTAAACATCGTATAAAAAAACATACACTCTCCGATGCCATTCTGGTTAACTCTACCGAAAACCCATTTGTCAAACCAGTATGCATAAGCCGTGATGTCGCAAATGTGGTGGAGACTCTGCGTGTTTATATTCGATAATTGCCCGATCATGCACATTTTCTTTTGTTCAGTTTTGTCTTCAGGTTGCCATTTGCTGCGACGTTCACGTTCTCAAATTTCATTTTGATAAACTGACATCTAACTCGGACGTCCATAAAAAACAAACACTTGGCTCTGTCACTGCTCAGCTCCAGTCGTCACCTAAAACAGGGAATCTGCCAGAGGATACAACTGTACATCGTTGTATCCTCGTGTTCGGTAATTGCTGGTACGGGGTTTTCTATGAATGAACTCTCTTCTCTTTCTCGTTTGTATTGCCCTTTCGTCTCAAGTTCAGTAAAAATCGTTAAAACGATTTACAGTAGCTTTCGTTCCAAAGCGACTTCATTTTTAATTTGTAAAACATACAAATTGCGGCCAACAACTTGGCGCCGCATGCGTCCTACAATGTATTTCTTTAAACACTTTAAACACAAACCACCCGTGGCGATCGGTAAAGTTATATTTCTGTATGTATCTACTTAGTACTGTAAGTAGTAATTTTCAAGTAGTTGGCCGATTTTGTTTTTCAAGTAGCGGACCGATTTTCAAGTATATTGTAAATACGGAGTATCGTAAACTAAGGCATCGTGTGAACGGCAGGCGTTGTCATAGTCAAAACGTTCGTATTCTAGAAAATATATCAAAAACGTTTACATAATGCATTTTCTCACGCCTCTAGCGACAAAGTGCTCTTGTGTGGCAGTCGTGAATTAGTGTTAGAAACACGATTCAGTATGTTTAAATTGAGTTGGTATGGTCGTCCGTCGATAGAAAATACTGTTTCGGTTTATTGTAATTGATCAACGACATTGTAATTGAGACCGACAAGTTTGTATTTTCACAATTAAAAAAGGCAGGAGTCGTGCTTGCACCCCAGTTTCACTACTTCCGGGAATGTCGTCAATACGACTTTCAAACAAAATTGTCATTCCAGCTCAGCAGTCAATCAGCGACGGCCTTACAGTTAGATGACAATTTCGGTTTCAAATACCCCGGAAAAATGTTCTATGTTCTTCGTGTAATTAGGTGTTCGTATTTAAGGACTTTTTCCACATAAAGATTGGAAAGATTGGTATTTTTGTCCTGATTTGTAGGAATCTGAAAAACGCGTTTCACAACTTGTCTCTTATTTAGTTTTATGCGACATTCAAGATGGCGGCCCATATTGGTAAATATCGCATTTATTTTATTACCATTTGTGCGCCAGCTGACTGTGACCCTGAAGCACAATATCAAGCGTGGTCTACACAGATAATTTTTTATCCACGTATTGTCGATAGAGGGCGCAACTTATGTTGGTAAAGAGTTTATTTATTTCACACCGTAAATAAATGGTGCTTACCTTGAACACCTTCAGCAATGACTTCCTTGTCACTGCCATCAACGGCTGCTCTGTTAATCGTGTGCAAATTCACGTCCGTCCAGTAGACTTTCTCATCCAAGGGATCGTAGTCAACGGCAACGGGATTGCTCATACCCGTGATAGGCAGAACTGCATACTCGTAGTGAGTCGAAGATAGGCTTAAATGAAATATAGTTGCTAACAACGAGTCTGCTACCAGCATAAAGTGCTCCATATCAATGTCTAAATAAAAGGGACAGATGATAAGTATATTGCGCAGCTTCAATACAATTTAATCTACGGTACGTCGTACTGATTTACCACACTTACCTAATCTGCATAATGTGTTCATGTCAGCATCCCATTCGCCAGTGTCGAGGCAACGGAGATCCCTTTGCAAGGTGGCTGAGAACTCATTGTCACATTGAAATGGACAGTTGTTACCCTGGGTATTGTCACAAGCTTCTGATATTGACCCATGTCGGAGGTAGACAGGACAGCGTAGAACTGAAATACAACATTGTAGGAATGTGTAGGAATACAATAAAAGAGCAGAAACACTGTATCCAACAAGAAACATTTACTTGAGAGCATTTCTGATAAAAACAAAATTAGCAAAAACAAATGCGTCATCATTATTAAATATAATTATCAATATTCTTGTTCCTCAATTAATACTACAGAGAAAATGTCTTTCTCTAAAAATTCAACCATTATTAAAACAAAATAAGTTTTATAATACCAGATAAAATTATTTAAATTATTGTAACCACGAGAAATCAGTTTACACCAGAGACAACAGTAATAGCGACATCAAGAGACGATTCTGATATTTTACTCCCATACCATTTTATCAACTGTTATTCAAGAAAAGTAATACAATGGAATAAATCGAACCAATGAAATGTCACACTGATATATTTCTTTCTTACCTTGAGTGCACGTTGTATTTGCTTTTTGGCCACAGAGGCATTCCGCCCCACCTGTGCTTGGAATACATATCTCGGCACAGCCCCCATTATCCATATCGCATGGTCCTAGACGGTAATAGTAAGACATTATACCAAATGTTTTTTGTCGGTATTGGTTGGTGTTATTGTCTGCTTCATAAACTTGTGGACACATTTATATAACATTGATAGGAGAGGCCACTTCAAGATAGGACCCAAGTGATTATGTTTTGGAGAGGAACTTAACCCATTGATTACAGGAGTTGACGCAAGCGATTTGATGACCTGGATGCTAAGAAGACAATAATTTTTGAAAAAAATGTTTTAACTACTGCCAAGTAACTTAAAAGTTGTTATCATGTGTTGTAGTAGCGATTTCTATTGAGACTGGGACAAATCGAGTATAAATGTCCCGGTTGCTATAGAAACATGATTTTTTTGGAAGGATTTTTCGGCAATGCCAGATGAGGTCACTGCAACGATTAGTACTATACAGCTGTGGCGAAGGTTTGCAGAAGTTCCTTGCAGTTTTTGTTTGTAATATTATCATTTCTTTCTGACAATGATGGCGAATATTGAATCTCTTACCTGGGGACTGTTTTTGTTTCGTTGCATCATATGCAATTATTGTTGTTGGGGAAGCCCATGCAAACACCGCATTAACATAATTATTGTTTACCAAATCCTTCTGTCCTATAGCATTGTGACGTGGCTGTGTCCAGTATAGATGATCCTGAAAGAATACGACATCTCTCACGTTTATTCAAAATATTACTTAAATCTGAAATTACCACCCATATATATATAGTGTGCGATAAATATGAATGCAGCTATATATAGCTACTGTAATAAGAATTCCACTACGCTGATTGATTAATGCAAGCAGGTAATGACGATAATGTCATGGATTTTGTTATCAAAATAAATCTGCAAAAAAATAAGATCTTCCTCCTGCCACATTTCATGCCAAGAACACATGAAAACTACCAATTTGAAACTAGTTCGATATATATGATATGATAAATTGGCACATTTAAATAATATTGAGAACCATGGTACTTGTTTTTATGTCTCCAATAGTGACGGTTCCTCTTATTGCCATCTTCGCGTCCTCTGAAGAACGTAACAAAGGTATTTTGCCTGTTACGATGACGGGCGACAATATGCACTATATTTAAGAGCCTGGGGTGGGTTGGGTGGTGTGGGTAGGTAGACTCCCATAGTATACGGGCATGCGCCGATTTTTTGACTCCAATTTTAAGGTTTTCGGCCATTTTAGCAAAATGTATTACATTTTTTGGCATACTCGCTAAAAATCGCCTTCAATGTGAATCCACTGAGGGCCTAGTTTTCAACTGCTTGTGGAGCACTCTCACCCAAAATTCAGGTCAGTCCCAGGGGTTTAAACAAAACAAAACAAGCTCTCGCGTCTAACGAGATTTCAGTGAATAATTCTGATTAAGCTCTGGTATATATTTGTCACGTGGTTACCTGGAATATAGCTATTCCCGCCACGTCACTGTTAGCACCGTACACAGATTGCTTACCATTACCATCGTAGTCAGAAGAGAAAACTACAAACTGTCCTGAGTCTACCCAATATACCCTGAAATAGTTGATGTAAAACTTACGTCAGCATTTATATGTACCATTCTACCCGTAAATCAGAAACGCACCTTTCATGTTTTTTAATAAAACGCATTGTTTTAGCACAGAGGGTCATCACCTGCGCACGCGCGGGAATTGAGTCCCAAGCGACGATAACAACACGCGCTAAAAACGCAAAGGCTTATGGGTGGACGCTTGTTTGTAAACAATGACACGCCATGGCCAACTGACGCATGCGCATGTGACTCTCCCGATTTAAAAACATTATTATTTAATTTTAATCACGCTTGTTTTTCAATCAGGAATTTTACTGTTTGGGAATTTGTCTGAATAATGAAAACAAAAGTTGATGAAAAGTGTTTTTAAAAATGGATACAAATGCATATGATTTAAAAAAAAGTAGACGTGAATGAATAATCGGTGTTCTACAAATACTGTAGCAACAATTTACGTAGCGTCTTACCTTTGTTTGGAAAAATCAATAGTTACAGACGTGGGGCGCACAAGGCCAGCACTTGCCAGATTCTTTCGCTGTCGACCAGACAGACCTGATCGCTCGATTCGAGGGACACTGCCGCTGTCAGCCCAAAATAGGTACCTACGAACCAAATACATATGTTACTTTTTTGTCACACCATGAATACACCATGAATGAATAACCTAATGCAAAAATCAAGATTAGTCAAGAGCCCATTTCAAAGAGGCAAAATATGAATCAAATAATTAAGTAATTTAATAGATCACCAATATTTGCTACTTTCACTATTTAAAGGCGCACATAATGCCCTGAATCAGCTTACAGAAGCCAACAATAAACATAGTATGCGATAACAGGAGGATGAAATAGTACATGCTTAAATGAATCTACGAACCCATTAACAAAATACATATACACAGACACAATAGCGTACTGACTATATGAGTGTTATTTATGCACAAGCACCAAACATGCTGCATGACCGTTATTTATAGGCGGTGAGTGTAGTAAACGCTTGTTACCGACATACTCGTCAATGGTGCTCCACTACTAGTATTTGTTTGTTTCTGTGTCAAATATGCTTGACGCTAGCATAGTGATATCCACGAATGCGAAACATAACAAAAATAAATAACAAAATACAACAACAATCCTATAAATAATATACAATTTTGTTAGTGTCAGCGTACATGAAAAATGACATGCTATTTCGTCCTTGGTTGTAATTGATCTCATATGAGTGGTTGTGGCATCGAATTCCCGGAAATCCCCGTAGTGCTTTTATTATGTTCCCCGCCAGCAAATGTTTGGGACACAATTTAATCATCATCTTACTTTTTCTCTGGGTGTACTGCGATCCCTCTAGGTTGCTGGATATTATCACTTATAATAGGCGAGCAGAACCGGCCGTCTGTTGTACACACGTAGATGGCTATATTTTCAGAATCACTATAGTAAATGTTGTTCGCTAACCAATCGATTGTAATTCCTAAAACAATACAAGAAAAACATGAATAACAGGCCTACAAACGTTTTAAAAGATACCGCCCAGACAACCAAGTGATTTTACTGAATTGCATGCCTAACCAATTTCATTCACTCATTCAATCATTCATTCATCATACCCAAGCTACCTATCTCAAAAATCAAGATAAACTTAGTGAGAGAAATATATGTACTGAGCAGTGGTGATTGGTGTTTCAAAACTGTAAGTACGCCACTTATAACGACTCATTAATATTACACGTCATACTGTACGTCCAATAAACACTATATAGTATATTTAATTACCTTGTATATTATTAACACCAGTTATTATTGCCGTTCTGGTTGTACCTTCTCTTAAATCTGTCCGTACAATTGACTTGGAATTGTCATCGTACGCATACAACATGTCATATTCATATACATAGTCCATTGTGAAAACATTCATATTGTATATGATCTGAGTTATATTCTGGGACTGCTGAGAGTGGCCAAAATTCACTGGTAGTTTGTATACACCATTTGCAATTGCAAACAATAACTGATGTCCCGTGATCATATGGGTGTCTGTAGAAACGAAAACGAATAGCCTGTTACTGTACACAGTGTAAAATATTATATTGAGGTGTTTAAAGTATTTTGAAACCTTAAGCCAATATCATATATTGTCCTAAGTCGGATTATATCAGAAAAAAATACTAGCAGTGATATTAATGTAATATGAGGTTATTACGAGGATACCTCAAAGTATGCACGAAGACAGTACAGCGGGTGTGTCGACCGTCGCGGAGTACTGTCTGAGTGCATACTTTGAGGCATCTTCGTAATAACCTTATTATTATACATCTTTTCCTTCCAATGGTACATCATGGGAATGCCGAAATCCAAAAAGTTTAGAACAGAATCAGCGAATTCCTTCGTGTGGAGTCCAGTCAAACCCTGGTGGCAGCCATGTTTGTTTTTATTATTAGAGGACTCTCACGCGCGTAATCGTTCCATATTCGGAATTCGCATTTATATGGTAGGATGTAAATATTCTATGGTTCTTTGTCATTGCACATAAATCAACAGACTATTTTTAATAACCCGCAAACACGTACTTTCATGGCGTAAAACATGAATAATTTAACACAGTTGGGTAATACTTCCCACTGGAGGAATGGTTACGAAAACAGAAACGCAAACAGCCCCGCTAAAACTCGGCGACCGTACGCGAGTAAGTGTCATTATGGCAAACAAATTTGATGATTGAAATGATATAATGATATACGGCAATTACCATAGCTAAGAAAACCAAAATGCATATACAAAACTAGAATGTCTGTGTATCCATAGGAACATTTTTGATAACAATATTTACGTTGTGAATATTCAATGATTAGACCATGATTTTGAAGTAACACTATTTAATTGTGCGGTATTTATCGGTATTTATCGGTATTTATCTTGAGGAATAACAGACGTCTTGGTGGTTCTAAAACACCTAAAAAAGGTTTTCGAACCACCAGGAAGGATTTCTAGGATATTAAAATGTACTTCAATTTTTTAAAACTGTGAGAATATTTAATGCACAATGATTTAGGATAGAGAACTACCTCCCCTCGAAGTTTTTGCGGTTCTTTACGATTCGAAGCCGAGGAATTCTTGGTGTCGATTATCATTTATGTTTTCATGTTTCATTGTTTAACTTACTTCTGTCACATGTTCTACCATCGGCATTTAGCACATGGTCTTTGGCACACAAACATGTACGACCACTAGCAACTCCTACACACATTTGGTCACATAAACCATTGTTATCAGAGCAAGTACCTAGAATTAAATAATAAGTTATATATTAAAGAACATATTGTTATCTCGCACTCAAACTTAAAGATGCCCAACGAATTAAGAACACATTTTCGAAGGGATGTTGAGCAATCAGTCAGTCACGAATTTCAATTCGAACAATCGGTAAATAATCTAAATTCACAAAAAAATGTATAAAAAATGTGCTTGGTATCCTACTTTTATACATTTTTTAATTAAACAAGCAGCCTGTCGGCTGAGATAGCTCCGCTGTTAGCAATGCACATTTCAATTAAGAACTGAAGATATCATTAGAAAATGAACAAAATGTATAGTATCAAAGCGACCGGACTTTCAACAAGGATTCAAAAATATCACTTTTCACCAAAAATGACAAAAATAATCATCAAAATTAGATAATTGAAGATATCACCACGAAATTAACAAATCTGAAAGAGGTCCACATGTAGTACCTATATATGTAATATAAAAACAATCGGACTTAAATAACACTTTTTACCAAAAATTACAAAAATATTCATCAAAATCAGAGAATTGAATATATCATCACAAAATGAACAAATCTGAGAGAGGTCCACATGTAGTACCTATATGTACAATATCAAAGCGATTGGACTTGTGGTTTTCAACAAGAAGTCGAAAAAATCACTTTTTACAAAAAATGACAAAAATATTCACCAAAATTAGAGAATTGAAGATATCATCATGAAATGAACCAAGGTACATATACACCAAGTATCAAAGCATTCAGTCTTGTAGTTTTCAAGAAGAAGTCGAAAAAGTAAAACATTGACACGGACAATGACGGACGACGACGAACAATCACTCATATGATAAGCTCCGCTCGACAAAGTCGACAGCAGAGCTAACAAAAATATCACATTTTTGTTATGGTTCAAGACGCTTCATAGATGTCACTTACTTGTCATGTGTGCTTGTCTTAATGGCGAATAATACGTAATTCCCAGTGTACCAGTGTTAGAACCGGCGGATATGGCTCTTCGATTGGAAGTGTTTGAACGGCTTATTATCCATACAACACCAGACAGGTGATCACTGACGAAAAAATAGTTCTGCGACAATGAAACAAAACAGTATTAAATTCAAATTTATAGTAAACTCCGTTTTAATTACACGGATTATGTATCAGAGATTTATTATTTATGTAATGCCTACCCCTGGATAGTAATATTGAAACAAGCAGCCTCTCGGCAGAGATAGCTCCGCTTTAAGCAATTAAACAACTGAAGATATTATTAGTAATGAACAAATCTGAGAAAGGTCTACCTGTACTATCTATATGTATAATATCAAAGCAATCGAACTTGCGGTTTCTAACAAAAAGTCAAAAATATCACTTTTCACCCAAAATGACAAAAATATGAACAAAAATTGAAGAATTGAAGATATCATCATGAAATGAACAAATCTAAGAGAGGTCTGCCCAAGCTACATATACACCAAGTATCAAAGCATTCAGGCTTGTAGTTTTCAAGAAGAACTCGAAAAATTAACGACGGACGGACACCGGACGACGGACGGACACTGGACGACGACGACGAACGCCGACAAACAATCACTCATATGCTAAGCTCCGCCCGGCAAAGTCGACAGCGGAGCTAATAAAATATCAGTTGTGATTTTAGAGTATAAAACGACTTGAGTGATTATTTAGATTGCCGTATAACAGTAACTACACATACCTCGTCCAGGGTAATGTCGAAGGGAAACACAAAGTTAATTTCAGTTAGTATCATACTGATGATGTAGTTAACACCATTCCAGCTTATCGACTTAATCGATTTTAAACCTTGATCAACCCAATACAATCTGAAACAATAAAAGTATTTTTAGTATGCAACAAAGGGATCAATTAGGTCATACGAATAATCAGGTATGATAGTAGATTGCTGACGTAATACGTTTAAAATGCATGAATATTCAACCGATTCAATTCCACCATTGTATATATGATTTATGTCTGCTAACTACAGAAACAGCTTTGAGTTCACATGTTTAAATAGTGCATTAACTAACATGTAAGTAACAAATGACGAATGGGACACTTGGTAATAAACATTCACATTCTTTTGCTCGATAGGTAACTTCACAAACAATTACTACAGTGTGTGTCAGAGTTTCAGGAATCGTGGCGTACATATGCAATTGAAAATAAACGCAAATGGCCGCCGAGATCTCGTTGAATGCGAGAAGGATACGAGATTTGGCTTTTGTACCATAAATGGTGTTACGGTCTCTTCACTGATTATCATGGACGCGACAAAGTCTCGTGGCTATCGATCAACGAAATATCGGTGGCCATTTCGGTCTATAACACTGCGATTAAGACTTTCCGTTTTCGACATTGTGACATTCTTTCGTTTTTTGGGGGGATAATTCAGAAATGTTATATTAAGAATATTTGATAACAAAATGTGTTCCCTATGCACCCATAAATACTTTTCGTAATTACCAATTACACAAGAATATTATAGAAAAATAATAATTTTCTATATTCTTTTTTGTCTTTTTTTGTCTTGAGTTATGACTGAAAGAAGCTGAATGAAATTACAAACTATGTAGTGTGTTCAACAACTCATGTATGAACAATAACTTTAATAAATATGATTTTATTTAGTAAAAATAGTGTATTTTTCTGCATAAAAACGAACGAATTTCACAATGTCGAAAAGGGAAAGTCTTTATCGTAGTGTTCTACGGTCATTTAATTGAAAGATTACCTGTTCGAATTGTAATCAATTGTTATCCCGTTTGGAGATTTTATACTTTGTACTCCATTTCTCTCTTTGCTGACAAGAATTTGTCGACCAGTACCGTCCAAATTAGCCATTTCAATCCGAGGGCTTGTCCCAACGTCCGACCAGAAAAGCAGCCTTTTTTTGAATAATATACATATTGTTAATTTTGCAGTTAAGTACAAATACTAATAAACCTCATCAACATAAAGTGTAAAGTGAATAGTTAGAGAAATTGTTTAATTAGAATTAGCATCACAACTACGGCGCAGGACATAATAGCGTGACTGTTTCTTCTACGCGCCAATTACGAAACGCTTTCCATTCAAGCGCGCCTAAATGTGTGAGTGATTGTCATGCACGCGCACCAAGAATTCAGCTTAGTGGTGAATAACGCCTTACACAGTGATTCATATCAAACGTGTAAATTTAGAAAGATACATGCAAAGAATACGCCACTTTATCCGTATTTGTATTCGCATCAGAAAAAAATCAATATTGGACGCGTTTCAAATCAACAAACAAACGCACAACCAAACCAGCCCAATTTCCTAATTAGGAAAAATGTAAGTGTAACGCAATTATTGCTTCACTCCGTACCAACTAAATCAATTAAACGAAGCAGACATTATGTATGTAATACAAGTTATTGAGTTGTCTAGCAACTAAATTAATTTACAGTATACGTTTATGGTAATTGTTACACTTTGTAATGAAATTCATTTACATGCATCAACTTAAAATGTTGTTAATATATTGTGTGTTTCTTACCCTCTGCTTGGATGGACAGCGATGCCTCTAGGGCGGTCAATATCGGTTAACACTAACTGGTGTGCATACGCCCCGCTGTATTCCGACACCATAATCCAGTTATAAGCTGCATCGGTCCAATACACGTTTTTAGAAACCCAGTCTACAGCCAGTCCCTCTGCCTGCGAGGACGTTCCAGAATATATAGGGGTGCTCACATAATTCCCAGACTGGAGTTCAGTTCTGTAAACACTGCGGGTAGTAGTTTCCGTCCAGAATAAGAGCTGGTCTTCATAATCATAGTTTATGCTTACCTTGACGGAAGTTCCGGATATAAGAGTAGTAGGTGGCGAAGTGACGTTATCGTATATCGCTTGGCCGGGCCCTCGCGAAAACCGCACACCTGATACTGAGCTAGAGGATATGGGTGTGTCCACCGACAGCCACAGTAAACCAGTGTTTGTAGACTGAGAAAACGAACCTATATACAGATAATGAGAATAGTCTTATTAAACATCCATGACGCAAAGCTGAGGTTAAAAGTCGATGTTCGTTACGCATATGCGAGACACGAGTCTCATGTAAACAAAGATGGCGACTTTCACTGTTGCGAGATCAACGTGTACAAACTGAGACCTGAGTAAGTTTTAACTATGTAATTATATTTCTTTGCTGATTGGAAGACACTGAAGAACTCAACGGTGGTAACTAGTGCACGTTGCGCCCAGATCAAAAACTCGTACTCGTGATTTTCATTAGAAGAACGCACTGGATTGTGGGAGAATCAATGTTTATCAACATAGATGTCGCACATTCCCGGCGCGACGACTGTATGAGATTTGACCTGAGCGCGACTTGCACTAATTACCGCCGCCGACTCCTTCGACGACTTCCAATCACCTAAAAAATACCCAATTAAAGCTTGGTAACGTCTCAGTTTGTTCTCAAAGATAAGATTTAAAATGACAAACTCCGTGCATGACCCAATGAAATATTTGTTGCAGGGGAGAATCTAGGATTCTGGAATGGGGGGGGGGGCGATAAGTTGGCCTAAGGCCAAGTTCGCGAGCGCCGATGGCGCGAAGCCCTGTTGGGTATTAAAAATGGGGGGGGGGGGGGCTCGGCCTCCATCTAAATCCGCCAATGTGTTGTTGTGTTGTAAACTACATTTCGTGAAGTCAAAGTCACCCGAGTTTGGGTCAGTACTATTAGATTTGATAACAAATTCACAACTTCACTAAGAACACTGATAAAACTAACTCATTGCATGTTATATCGAAAATGCGTATTTGTCGCGGACTTATTTATTATTTATTTATTTTTATTTATTTATGTATTTATTTTCAATGTTTTATTTACCTATTATTTTATTTACTTAGGGGTCGTCTGTTCTATAGTTAATTGTGCCCTAATGACGCATCATACAGGCTCGCTCCGACCAGTTCCCAACGCTTGGCAGGTGCCGAGATTGATTGGTCTGTTCTCCGCACCATGATACGACTATAGAACATCATAACGATGATAAATGGTGAATTAAATGAACATAAATTCACAAAATATTCGCCACTTTACTGGCGTTCAGTAATAATGCAGATATGCAGTTAGTGCTGTATTTCTTTGATGACCAAAATTGTCGTAAAACAGAAAACACAAATCAACGAAAAGAAACTATGCACTAAACACATATGTACACTCTGATGTTGTTTGGTCAATAATAAATTATGTTGCATTCCCAGAAATGATGTTGATTTCGTGGAATATATGTTGGAAAATACTGTAAAATGACTAATTTTCACTGGGTTTAAATTTCACTGATTTACCATTTCAGGCATATTCAGTGGGTATTAAATTCACGGTTTCGTCATTAAGATAATGTGTTCTATGCTAAATTTTACATATTCACTGTGTTTTAATTTAGCGCATTTTTCCAGTCAGCGAAATAAGCTAAATTTAAACCCAGTGAATAATTACCCCCTTTACAGTATACATTAGTTAAACAGTGTGTCGACTGGGAGATTTGTCCCGAACATTAATATTGTTATTAATTTCGGAGTTATTATCGTAATATTCGATGTTACGGTGATATTGCCGATATCCACGTGTAATGCATAAATTATGTTAATTAGGGTCAATCTGCGTCCGCACATGTTCGGCATTGAACAATCAGTGTTTGTTTAACTTCTGCTAGCGTGCAGTGCAGTTCAATTTCTGTTTTTACCGCGTTCATGTTCAATCGGACATTTTCTTACCGCTGTATTTTTACACTGGAGTCGTTTTGGTAATAAATAGTACAGGTTGCCTATTGCATCGTTATCGAAAAACCAAACTGTGTCTGTATGTCTGTACATGTATAGCACTGATTAGCATAGAAAACCCGGACGTTGAATAAACATAATAGCTCCGCCTCTATTACTGTGTTCAGACGGGCCTTCATGTCTCAGTGTTATCAATATGGCATCGATGGCGTAGACCTATCTACGATAACAAACGACAAGTCCTATAAAAGTATAACCATTAGCATAAGCGGACAAGAGAACAAGGGCTGTCGTTTGCACATAGATCGACAAATCGGTTGGTATGACATATTGTACAAGGAAGTCGCAGCTGCCGACGTTAATTTTCTGGGGAATTTTCTTCCGGGTTTGTAAATATATCTTCTGATACAAATTGGAATAACAGGAAAGAATAAAAACGTGCGTAGTTTTAGGTTCCCTGGTGATTTACGGCTCGGATTTACTTGTTGGAATTCATATTTCCTTTTCTAAGTATATTTCATTTTATTTCGTAAACAATGCTCAATCTATTCTTAAGTTCCACACACAAAAAGCTGCACGATTAAAGCGGAAAATACTTGATATTTTGGCTCCTGGTTTTATAAACAATAATACAATAAGACTGAGCCGAGACAGAAACATACGTATATTCGAATTATTGGGCACACGCCAAATAATGTAACAAGCAGTGGCTTCAAATAATAATATTGTATAAACTAAGTTTGTACATAATTGGAAGACGTAATGTCCGTTAGTCACGCCCCATGTAAACATAGGCCAACAGTCCCTGGACAACAGCTTAAGTTGTCGGAGAAAGTTACTCCGAGTTATATGAAATTCAAGGACAAGCGACTCCACACCCGTTTCATGTAGTACCAGCTGTGATACTAATAGTTTATATATCAGCCTTTTATATTAGCCAGCCGGATTCTAAAAGTAAATCCTCTTGTTAATTACGTGTGTTTAATTAGTCTTGTTACCATGGTATTTATAGAGCCAATCACGACATAGTATTTTCATAGACATGGCCAATCACTGATCGTAAGTTTGTCCTTCAAGCTTTCCCGCCTTTTTTCACTCTGTTTTTGTGGGCTATGTTTCCTATGACGTTCGATTTAAGGGTATATAAGAATGAAACACACGCTTCTCGATATGTATTTCTTCAGTTTGTAACTCGTTACTATGTTCCAGCATTCGCTGTTGAATAAACCATTAGTTTATTAGTTTCTTAGACGAATTGCTGTCTCCGTGTCTGACATTTGTATACCCCCGCTCAAGGAGTCCGGTTTTTAACTGCATTCCCCCACACAAGTCAGGCACGGTTAAAAAAAGGTATGAACTAATGGTCGGAATTCCCGAATTGTTGACGCGTTTTTGGGGCGGAATTTCGCCAGGGTGCCCGTCTGAGCACAGTCTATTATATTTATTTGTTGCCGGGTTTTTAACTTCTACTTGGAAAAATAGAACCACAGAGAATTAACATAATATTGTTTAACTTATTCTCTTTGCTTTCCACCTAATTGCGCGTATATATGTTCTGTTATTGAATATATTAATTATTCAATTTTGTGGTTGTTATGATTGTTCTTATGTTCTCCTTTAACATGTGCACATGTGCTATTGAAAAAAAAAATGGCGACTGTCCAAAACCTCTGGCGATTTTAAAACGTTACTTTGAGCAACGATTGATACTATATTTGATGCAAACTATCAACAGTAATTGGGATATTTTACAGGCGTTACAACTAAGCCAGTGTTTACATCTGTTTCATATAAGCAACGGGGTGGTTGGAAATTCCAACACGGAATAAACGTACACAACCTTACTCCGTATATTATGTCCACTGTCCCGGGTCTCGAGTTACCACGCATGAACGGTTCATGGGAAATATAATAACGTGGAATCGTACCGGAAGCCTGAGATACAATGAATCACGCTACACTCATGTTCCATTCACATATCCGCGAGTCTCCAAACTAGTAGTCTATAATTAGGTCAATGACCTGATTTATAAGACACAGTGAAAGTGACAGATACGAATGTGATAAATGCCGTCTACGTGATTGGAATGATAAGCCCTGTAAAGTGTTGGTACAGTGAGGTTACTATGGAGCAACGTGTTGAACTGAGTAGCTGGGTTGTTTTGCGGAAGCGGAGCAGTCACCCAGAATACTAACGTACATGATAGCTGTTACGTACCGTAGGACGCACATAAAAGAATGCACAGCAATGCGGGAACTTCTGTCTTCATAACTGTGCTGGGATGAAATCGGAACTCACTTTCGACAACTTATTTCGGTACGTTTCATTCAGTGGTTGTGAATGTTCAGTGATCGCGGACCATCCTTTCATAGAGAACTAAACGCTGTTGATCCACAAAGAGGCGGAAGTCTGTAATGAGACACCGCACCTCCCACAGCTGACCTGTTGGTGACGTTGAATACTACTCCACAAATCGGCATCTGATTGGTTGAATATCTGGCAGCGGCCCGGTACTCCCGATTGAGTACATTATTTTCGTTGTTTGCGTGTTTTTAAAGAACGGCAAATATCACGTTGAAATATTGCAATGTAATGTACACGCATTTTTTTAAGTTGCATAGACCACGATGCATCGCGACGATCACTGAAACCCCTCTACAGTTTTCTATCTACCTGTTACCATGACAATTCTTTGAATTTATTCAGGAGCGTTACTTAGTTAGATATGTCTTGTTAAGGGGGGATTATGTGTCAGAAGACGCACTGACAATTCTTTAAAGCGCGGTGGTCGTCGCGTAGCGCGTGTTCGAATTTCATGTAAATAAACAATGTATTTTACACGTTTACAAGTTTTCAATCTTAGCATTTTGTCGGCAATTTACTCGAATGAACAAGAAGGCAATTAGCTGATTGCTACCCCCTTGTGGTTGTTGGTGGTTCAACCCAAAAGTATAAGACTTATTAAATCGAGTGATACCACAGGGAGCCCAGTAACTATAATCAACTGTAATACACAGTCTCTATGAGCGGGGGGGGGGGTATCGGCTGGTATCTAGTATAAGAAATAGACAAGGGATGAAGGCTCCAGCCAGCTCACAATTTTTTTAAACTCGAA